GTCTCCCCCTTTCAAGATTGGTGATCCATTCTCGATTCAGAAGGACAAAAACCAGTAGTAGAAACGCCGCGGGTAAGCTTATCCTACACTTACTAAAACCGCTCGGACTGATTGTGAGGATATCAACTGTACCAGTGAGGGAAGTGTGCCGATATGCCTTACTCTGGCCAAATGACCTGCGCGGATTCTGCCTTGAATAATTTGGATCATCGACCCAGTGATCGACTTTCATCTTCTTGGACGGAAAAAGCGTTTCGACCAAAGAACCATGAACAGAGTCGCATTTCAGCAACTGCCGGTCTCTCCTTTGGTTCTTTCCTGTTTCCACTGGAGCTGTATTCCCGTCTCTCGTCCCACTGCGATGGCAGTTTTCTGGAGTTGAACGGGAGAATTTCTCCGGAAGAGTGTTGAAAATTGGGATGAATTCGGGGATATCGACGAATGGGGAAGGGAGATCGTATCAGAGGAGAAAACTTCAAGGGAAGGTGGTTGTATTTTCCAAAACTCTTCATCAAAGGCAATATGTGCCTGCACCCTTCCCACCCCTCCCAACCTGTCTAAAGTGCCCAGCAAGCAAATTCTGAAATTCTGATGTCTTATGGATGGCACATGTTTGCTCCTATGAACAGTAAAGTTTTCGGAAAGCTGCTCGGAAATCTCTTGAGAAGGCTGCATACAGAAGCGGATTGACCGCTGAATTAGAATAGCCGAGCCAGAAGGCGATCACATACATTGTGTTGGTAATGCAGTCCGGCATCAGACAGAGTGAATATGCCTAAAAATGCACAGATATTTCATACATATTTCTATATTTCTCGGACACACTTCTTGGATTTTTCCTTTTTTGAATTGAATTTCTGCAATAAAAACAGTCAAGGATCTATTACAAACCTGAAGCACGTAAATGGTACTGAAAGGAATCCAACAGATCACAAAAACGCCAACGACGACAGCTGTCGTACGAGCTACTCGTAATTCAGTTCGTCGACGAGCTACTCGTAAGTTCAGTTCGTAGTGAGGATCGGGCCCGAGTGCGATCGCTGAAAAATGAATGTATACTCTCCTTGTGCCACGATCCTGTGCAGCACTCTTCAAAGCTCCGCCTGCGGTCCATAGTCTTGCTCGCTGCGGATGAGGGGCTTGTCAAGCTCAGCGCGCGCCCTCAGTTTTTTTTTGAATTTTTTTTCGGCAAGCCCAACAAAAGGTGTGGCGTTTTTGTGTAAGTCGTTCTCCACCGCTTGCCCATATCAACAAGTGTTTGAAAGCTCAAAAAATGGTTCAGAGCGATCTGGCGCTGCGCCCCAAATCCAGCTCCTGACACGCTTCAGCTGCTGGAACAGATCTGTATTATCAGTAGCCCGTATTATAATCAGTAACCCGCGACTGATAACGTTCAACAATCTCCCCGCTTATAGCTACCAATTAATTGATCTAATTACATAATTTATGAATGAAATTGTAGAGCTCACCTGCCAAGGTGTGTGATCACTTTGAGATGCTTTTTCCTATTGGTGCTGATCAACGAAACAACCATAACATGCGATAGCAAATTCTTCAGGATTGGACTTGCAGATTTTGCTCTCGGATCGCCAATACGGATTACTGACTGAGCAGCTGAGAAGAGATATTTGAATTTTGGTTGTCAAATAGATCGCACTAAGTTTAAGTAGAGACAATGGGTGAGAACATATAAGCCTAAAAGTAAACTGGAAAAAAATGGAATTTTCAGATGGGCCGGGCCAAAAATCTTTCCAGTCGTGCTCGACAGCTTGATAATCAGGGCGAAAGGAACCTCAGACAGACAGAAGCCTCTGAGATAAGATAAGAAACTAGGAGCTCATTTCCTTGAGAGCTTTCAGCAAACCCCATGTGGAAAGCTGATGCTACCTACACTACCGCACTTTTGACTTTCCTTAAAGAGAAGAGGCTCCCATGTGTCACGGGGCGGAGCCGGGAGCGGGGGGCGCGGGGGGGGGCGGGGCTGAAAGGTTTTCAAGTACGTTAACACTACTCTAGAGGGGCTCTCTGAGTTTTCCACAAGGAAACTTTCAGATGACAAGCAGGACCTTGTGCGCTAGTGGAACAGTTCCCAGTGGAAATCCATGGACCAGTGGACAGTGAACATGGGCAATGTACATGACAATTCCCATTTAGCCCTCCAAATTCACACTGGGAATCGTTGCAATTGACTAAGGGAGGGGGGGGAGGAGGAAGTTGTGGAATAAGCCCACCCACGGCGTTTTCTAATATTGGTTGCTTTCTAAAGCTTTCACGTTTGTTAGAAAATGCAACCGTGTGTAAGCTTAATCCATGCCTCCTGAACCCGTACCGGCAGATAGAAACAATAATGGACTCCTCATATTAACGTTTCGCTGAAGTGGGAACGGACCCTCGGACTGCCTGAAAGTCCCAAACGTTTTTCTCGTGCATCAACTTGAGGTCAAAAAGACATCTTAGGGTCAGCCAGACTGGAAACTGGGGTTCGAAGTCGGAGTGGGCGTTTCCACGAATTTCGTAAACAGACGACGACCCGTTGTCAAGGCAGCTTTAGCAGTTGGAACCTACAGTCACAGTCTGAGCTGCTCCAGTGGGCGGAGCCAGGCCTACCGTACCCGAGACGACGATGTTGGTCCTCCTTTCTTCAATTAGCGGGATAGCGGTGCTAAAAAGCTTGGAAGGCGGGGAATAGGGCACATCTGTAAACGCTTAGCTCACAAGTTTTGTTGAGACGCGTTAATGTATACACCGTGAAAACCGGCCAAGTCATGTCCCACCCTTGCAAGTCCTGCAACTTCCTGTCAAAATCCTGTAAACTCCTGAGAGCCTTGCAACTATGTAGTGTAATATATTGGGACCAGTTCTCAAGTTTGACCAATTTGACAAGTTTGCAGGAAACGTACAGGGTGCTGCACGGCATCATGGAAACGACGAGTTTACAGGGTGATGAGACGAGGATGTTCGTATTCACTGTGGGTGCTTTACAGGATCTTACTAAGCTGACAAGTACACGCTTACAAGCTGAATGCCCCCCCACCAAGGTTATTAGCGGCCAAATATCGCTGCTTGATTTTAATTTTTTCGAGACCAGTTTTTTTCTTTTTTTTTTGTTGTTCCTTTTGGTATGTTTTGTTTTCCAGTTATGGAATTTAGTTGCGAATTTTGTAATTGGTACCTATGTGCGTTTTAAGTATGAGTAAAGAAACAAATACATAAATGAACAACTAAAGTAGACTAAATAACTAGTCTGTACAGCTCAACTAACCTTTCAAGAGTGGTCGATCGTTCATGGGTGACATTTCATCGCTCGCTTTCGTATCACGTTCACTCGAATCGCACTGTTCCTTCACCTTGAATTTGTAACAAAATTGGAAAATCAGTTGAACGCTTGAACGACTAGTAACCACTTTGAACAATGGGGCGGGGCCAGGCCTATCGCTGCGCCTCCATCGCGAGGCTTCTCTCCTTTTTCGTTCGATGAAGACGAAAGTTGTCAGTGAGGCAGGCACAATGATATGCCTGACTCCACCCATAGACTGAATTGGGCCCTACAGAAAATTTCAACTTCAAACGGAATACAGAAAATCATCGCCTATTTATAAGAGCTCTGGCTTGATTTCAATGGTGGACATCGTGAAAGTCCAAAGTATTTTGGAAGTTCAGCTTTGCAAGAACTGCGCCAAATATCTTCTCGGCGCATGTACTCACCTTGATGCTGACGGATTTGCGTTTTCCTCGATGTATCCGCATTGACTCTCCACTTTTTACTGACACACATGTCGTTCTGGTGGTTGTGAGAACAGTACAGAAAATTGAGACGTTAAGTATGATCTGAAAGAGGTTTTGAAATCAAATCAAGTATGTGGTCACCGGATCTAATTTACTGCCTTCGAGAGAACATTCAGCCCGATTTCCACAAGCGAGAGGGCGTGTGAAGGGGTGTGGACAGCGGCGCTGTCAGAGCGGCCTTTTTCACAGAATGTTGCGGGCATATGGCGCTTCCATTGGTAAAAAAGGCGGCACTGACTGCGATTCAAGCCACTCCCTTCCACTCGTTTCCAGGAGTCAAGACCGTGCGCTTATGAATCTCTCAAGGGAGTGAAAAGAGAGGCAGTCCTATGAATAGAGCCTATCGTTTTCAAGAATTTCCCATAGCGGACTCTCGTTTTCTAAGATTAGAGCCCCGAGTTCCTCGAAAG